ACTGTCATGACCCAGCAGAGGCGCCTTTCATCGCTGCGCACGCTAATTAAACTGTCCAGTCTGGCGGCGCGTAGGGAGGGCGTGCGATGTCCGGCGGCCTTTTTGCGACTGCACGTGCAGCGTACGTGCAGGCCCTGCCACTGGGCGGAGTCGGCGCCGGCTGCCGGGCTTAATTCGATTCTGCGCAAGATGTTGCGACAGCGCGGATTCGCCGCGAACGTTTCGCCACGTGATTTGTTTTTGTCGTTTGAGAAATTAGCCGTTAATGCGCCGGCGCCATTCCCGACAGGTGATTGACTGGGAACGAGAGAGCGGGGGTGTAAACGCCGGCCGCCAACCGATCGTTTTGTGTCGTTGCCGGCCCGTTAGTTGCACCGATGGCGTCGATGGCGGCTGGTTCATGCGGTTTGTGGATCGCTGCCGCCAGCAGGGCATCACGCTCCGGGGCGGGTGGCCTCGAAGCTGCCATTAGGACGGAGCTCGGCCGTTCTGGCGGTGCGCTCAGCGAGATGGAACGCGGGAACGGCTGCCCGCTGGTGCGTGCTGGCCGACCGTTGTCGATTCGGGCTGAAAACTAGTGCAAACTGCTTGGGCTTCCCCGCCGAGCGCGACCTTTGACTTGGTTTCATTGCCGTTGCATGCTGCAGACGGCCGAGCTCAGCACGGTCTAGGATTGTTATTATGCCGGTCGGAGGGAACCAGATTCGTTACCGCTTGGAGACAACCATTGCCATGGTAATTGCTCATATGGCTGACTGTAAAGGTAATTTCATTGACTCGTTAAAGGCGTTCACCTCTTTTGTTCGCGATCACGACGTTCCCAGGGCCCTTCACAACGAACCTACCAGGACCGCAATGTCAACGCCAGTGCTGACTCTCTTTGTTCGTGCCCTGTGCCTACCGTGACCTACGAGCTGTCTGTGTACCATCGTCGCCCTCCTGGCGCGAGAGGCATAATGCTGGTTTGTGGGGTGGGGCCTCTCTGCCCGCCACAGATGTATGCCATTCATAGTTAAATAGCGCTCAGAATATCTTGGACAACGTTAGGGCATGTAAACCCCGAAAACCAAACATTAGGAACGATGAGGGTAATAATGTAGAATGCTAGTGGTGAATTCTCGTAAGCCAGCCTTGGCACTGCAATTGGATTGGCATGATTTATAGGGCGAATTGGGGTAAGGCTTTTATTGGGCTCCGGTCCACATCGCTTTGTTAGCCTTTGCACCGTGAACAGCCTCTTAATTCCCGCCAGGGTTTTCATTACCTTCCAATTCTAGTATGGCATGCCATCTCCCCATTGCAACAGTCAGCGAAACCCGTTGCGCATAACGGCAATTTGTCCTTCCTGCGGCTAACCTTTGACCCGTGGGCTCTGATCCAATGACTCGTTGAGTAGTTTGCAAATATGACGTCATTTTTCCCGAACTTTCGAAAGCTTAAGTCTCCAATTTGCGCGAGAACATACGCCGGGCATGCCCTCTCTTGCATGACTGCAGTGTACATCGATGTGTTGTTTTAGTCGCTATATCGAATCGTATAAATTTTGAAACGGAACTTTTAGCATGACATATTCTTTAGTACGGGGCATGGTCGTCGACTTAAGAAGAGCGGCACATGCGCCAGCTGACGGCGGCCAGCGCTCTGCTGCTCCTCTGGATGGCTAACGGGACGGTGCTGGAGCGGCGGCCGTCTTAATGACGGCGCCGCCCTGGGCGAGGCGGCGCTAGCACACGCGTGCGCTCCCGCCTGCCCACATCGGCGTCCATAGATCACGAGGCCGCGCTCGGTGGGCCCTGCGTCTCTGATGCACGGGCCAGCGGCGCGTGCGGTCGGTCAGCCGCCCCCGCCCGGGCGGCATCGCTTCTCCCGCCCCCGCCCCCGCCCCCGTCTGGTCACCGGCGATGGCCGGACGGCCCCTGACCCCGTGACCCGCCTGACCGGCCGGCCGGCGACGCCCAGCGGCGGGGGTCGGGGCGGGGGCGCGGCCCCAGCCCGCGCCGCCGGCCGCCGAGGTCGTGTGGCGGCCCGGCCGCCGGGGCGCGCCGTCACCGTTCCCACGGCAGCGGCGGTGATCGGTATCGCCTCATGCCGCGCCCTGCGATAATGGGGCCGGCTGACCCCGACGACCCGGGCGGTGCCCTGAGGGTAGGGAGCGGCCCAGAGACGACCGGTGGGTGCGCCGCTGCGGCGCTGAGATAATTCCGATGAAGTGATTTAGTTATAAAACATAACGGCTATAATTGTTATCAGCAGTTTATCTGAACATCCGAACTGTTATCTGCACTTTATCCGAGCATCCCGGCTATTATAAGTACTTTATGCGAGCATTCGAACTGATATCAGCAGTTTATCAGGAGCAAAATACTGATTAGCGAAAGCTTCCCTAGGGCTCATACGCGTGGCATATTTTTGCTGCGACGACACCAACATTCGCACGGAGCCCCCCCCCCCCCCCCTCTCTCCCACTCTCTCTTGACACCAGTGACCAGTACCGGTGGCGGCGGGCGGTCCCGGCTCCCCCTGGCGCGGGCCCCCAGCTCTCTGCCGGTCCCAGTCCCGGCTGCGGCGGCGGCAGGGGCACCGCCACTCCTCTCCTGGAGCCGTTCGCCGTAGCGCGCCGGGCTCGCCAGGCTCGCCGGCTGCGGCAGGGCTCAAGCGGCCGCGTTTAAGTCGTTGCGGTCGCGTTTATCTCCCCTAATGGACCGCGCAATTAGCCTTCGGCTCGCGTAATGATTTGTATATTAATCTTGAAGAAGAACGCTCTCTGTTCGGATCGTACTAAACCTGAACAAGTCTGCTGCTGGCGGGATGTATGTCTGCCGGCCTCGTGGCCCACATCATAGTGTGAAGTGCCTGCAACCAAATGAAAACGATGCTGCAGTGAAGCGCTCCCCGTCGATCAGAATTACATACGTTTTGTTTGCACTGTTCAATGAACAGCCTCATTGATAACCTGCAAATCTTCTTTATGAATGCTCTTCATGTATGTATTTCGGTCTTAAATTACTGAGCTTGACAGGCAAGGTGGACTGCATACCAAAAGACTGCAACTTGGCTACGCTTCGTAGAAAGTACGGGACTTCAAGGCATTAGAAGGGTGGGCGAACTGAATTGGCTTAGCAAACCACGTGCGCAGCAGTTCCGTTGCATGCGCAAAATCTGTCAAATCAAACTGCATCGTTCTGTATGCACGTAGCAGACACACATAAACAATTATAGCCCACCATTAATAGCGCGTCTCCCAAGTGTTAATTACCCGTCGGCTTGTGAAGACCCACCGGGCTGTGGTGCGCGTGGGTCGGCTGACGACTGTAGGCCGGCCCGGGGTGTTCTCTTAATGACGTGTTTCTCCGTCCTTGCCACCATCACTGCATATCAATCAGGGGCTACCGGACTGGAACGCAGCTAGCCCAGCCTCTCTACCTCGTTTCGGTCACGGTGCGTCGACCCATTGTATAGCGGGAAGACCGCCCACTCGCTCCACGCCGTCGACATTACGCCACCGCGTCGGAGGCGGGGCGTCGGAGGGCGCTGCAGTCTCGTCGGCCGCCGCGGGGTCGGCGCTGCCGGATCAGCGATGCGCCGCTCGCCAGCCACGGGCAGGGGTCCTCCGGTTTCGTGTGATAGCCAGGTGCGTGCCGCGAATGAGGTCATAATTCGCGCAAACCGTACCTAACTACCGACTACCGGCGGCCGAATATGGCGCCGATGCGCGCGCGTAATTGATAGCGATGTGCGCCGACGCAGGCTCTCCGCCGGCAACGGGCCACTAATTGCAGATGGCAGTGATAAACGTCGGGCGTGGGAGGAGCCCGCGTGCAGGCCGCTCAAGTGACGCCATCCGGCCATGCATGGAGCTCCCTACGCCGTCCGTCAGGCCGGCCGTCGTGTATGCCAGATGGCGACCGACGGGCCAGTGGTGGACGGCGACGGGCGGCTGGCGACGGGAGATGAGCCAATGGCAGGGTAAACAGCTGCTGACGCCCAGTGTAAGGCGATTCAGCGACGTCAGCTGACGGCTGCTCCCACGGTCGATGTCGAGCTTCGCTGCTGGGCTGAGAGCTGTCCCTGCGTACGGCCAGGGCGAGGTCCGGGTACTCGGTATCCACGGCGTGATTAGCTGTCGAGGCGCCGCTATCGGGCCATCGCTGCTGCATATTCCCCGAAAAGGTTCATTACCCTAAATAGGTGGGCTAATGGGGTTTCGCTCGTGAGGAGCGCTCAAGTCGCCTATGCACACCAGCCGCCACCATTAGGTTTGGGCTTTCCAAGGTTTTATTCGAGGTCCATTAGGCTTGATTTATGGCCTTTGTGACCAGACTATGACTTTATAATGCTAACCAATACCATACTGATCCAATACCTTGAACGGGGCGTAGACGGGATGAAAGTTGGCTCAATGTCGCTCACGTTAGTTCTGCGACAATGCCCAGCACGCCCCGGGTATTGTCGCATTGCCAGCTTTGCGTGTAATGTTTCCTGCGGCACGCTGACGAGGCAGAATTAGGCAGGCGCTAAGCATCCATACTCTGTAATTTAAAGACGATTACACGGAATTAATGATCAAGTATCAGCTTTATCAGGGCTCCACACGAATAGGGCCTTGCTTGTCCGATCGTGACAGGGAATTGAACTTTGAAAAAGCAGACGCCAGCGCAGGGAGCAAAATGGTGTTTTTCGGCCCTGTTGTGCATCAGATCAGTCTGCCTATGCTGCCTGTGGACGTGTAACGTTCGACACGCAAGTTTGGGCCGCGATCCTCACTCGGCAATAAGTCATACCGCAGGTGTCGTCCTCCAAATAAATGGTTCAGTGGTCGGCAGCTCCAGGCGTGGGGGTATCGTGCTTTGAACTGAGCGCCGCCTGCACCTCCGTCAGCACTGGACGTAACCGTGGCCGTCTCCGTCGCTGCAGAGTCGCTCAGGACCAGACCTCGCTGACCCGACCTGCTCCGTGTGCGCACGCCGCCTGACTGGGTCGCCCCCCTCCCGCTGTTGCAGAGTCGCCGGTCAGCGACAAGTCGGGCAGCTCCTCGCCGTCCGGGTCGCCCCGCTCGCCGCGCTCTGACCTGATGTCGGGCCGGTACGGCTCGCCGTTCGACTTCCACGCCTGCTTCCCCACCCTGCTGGCGCTGGAGAAGATCCAGGGATACAACCAGTAAGTCCGCGCTGGGACGTGGCGCGCCCTCTGTCGTGGGTGGTCTCTGTTTCTCCCAAAACGAATGTTGCGGCGGCGGGGTCGGCGTGTGGGCTGCATCATCATAGACAACAATGAGTACACGGGAGGGACCCGCCATGAACGGGCGTTAGGTGCTGTTGCGGGCATCGCCATTCTCATCGTAAAAAGGTCCGTTACCTTGTGAAAGCATGATACACCCGGCCGCCCAGAAGTTGTGTAGGGCGCCCTCTGATCACCTCCGAAATTAATATCCCAATACGAACGTCGAGTGAACTAGGTGGTCGTAAACGGAGAGTGTGTGGGAGGGCCGACGGCATGGAGGACCCTGTAATTCCGCTTAGAAGAGCGCCCGGTCGGCCGACTGACCGCCGATTACATCGGATTTATCGTTTGGGTTCACACCCTTTTACACAATTGCGCCGGGGGATTTACGGGCGGGTAGCGGCCGCGTGCCCCGTCGCTTCGTATGCGGCGCGTGGCGTCCGCGCCTCATACCAATCCTCGGCGCCAGCCCGGCAACAAGACAGCACATAATTGAGTTTGATATATGCATAGGGCGAACGAGGCACCACCGGGCGACCGGGTCGGATCCATCTCATTTATAGTTTTGTTTATCCCCGTGCGCGGTTGACGGGAGCCTGGGACCCGCCCCTTACATACTGGGTAGACTCGACTCACTCCTCCCAGTCGCGTCCGTTTGTGGTGATGGTAGAAGGAAGCTGCATCGCGTTGGCGTTGTGGAATGGAGTTTAGGACTTTGACCAAACGCTGGCCCTTGTCCTTACGAGAGTTGTTATGGCCAGGGGGCCATATGTTTGAGGAAGGACCTAAGCAGATGATTTACATTGTTTTCTGCATTCCGTGATTTATTACGCTTGGTCTACAAGCTTTCTTCGAAAGATTTAGTTCACACCTTCGGATTGGATCGATTTATGGGATCAGCGCCTACGCTGGGCACTGCTTGTTGCATGAGCCCTGCCCGTACCATCGGGTCGGCAGAGCCCTGCCCGTACCATCCGGTCGGCAAGCTCCAGGTCGATGATAGTGTCTCGCGGCAAAATCTTAACGTGCAGCAATACTAGCCCGGTCCGTCGTGCCCTCAACTATCACCTGACCTTTAGCTCGGCCGCTGCCATCTTCACAGACCATCCCAGTCAGCCGCTTATGACGAGTGCCTGAAGCCATTTGAGCCGACCCGTCCGTGGTTACCAGAAGGCAGACGCTGTTACTGACGGAGCTATTGAGACGAACAAAGGTCGCCGTTTTCCCAGTTATTCTGCTTTATGCATATTTAAAGAACATGCTTCAGGAAGCATTAGCCCTAAACTTATTTTCTTTCTATTTGTGTAAGATTCTTGGACGGAACGTCTTCTTCTGTTGTTGTTCTCCTTCGAGTCGCCTGAGTCGCTGTAGTTGGTGGGCTGACGGTCAAAAACAAATGAAAGCGAAACGATATCACATGACAATCTGACCCTGCTTTTTGTAAAGCTTCCCAAAAGAAGTAATTTAAAACATGACCTCAACATGATAAACCGGTTCGATTGACAGAGCGATCTTTCATCCTGCCAAACTGACACAATAAAACGGGCCTACCTGAAACCTGCCGATCTCACAAATGCAGCGCGACCAGTGGAGCAAGCTACTGCTAACACGTGAGCCGAGGGTCTAGCGCGTGACGCAGCGATTGACTTGTCACGTTCAAATTGCGATATTGCTGATGGCTGACTCGCCACAGGAGCCATTATCTCGTTAGCTGAGACGACTCGATGCTAGCACGGTCGTTATAGTATCTGGTTTCTTTGGGGCAACGATAAACTTGTGACAGACAAATAAAGCAGCGGCGAATGCTTTGTATGGGATATCACGGCCTGTAGCCGTCTGCGCGATTTACTCGCCATCCCGCTTGTCCGATAGTGTCAGGTAACAACGGGCGTTGGGCGTGTCACAAATTGAGCAGTCATCGTGGCCATTCCTTACGAATTGTATCGTAAAATAGCCCTTAATCACCCCCGATCAGGATTGGCGCATGCCGAAGACGACGTGCCAGTTATTAATTGTTACGAGCGATCTGCGCCATAAACACAAATAGGACAATACTTGACCTGCACTAAGGCTCCAGCCATGCTGTTCCCATGGCTGGCGCCGATGACAAATGTCCGGAAATGCCGCGCTGGAGCGGCTCAGCAGTGTCCGTGGCGTACCCGGACCTGCGAGGCCGCGCCGGCTCTCGACCGGCTCATATCAGCCCCCCAAATCGCAAACGAACGGGCCGCGGTCGTGACAGCAGCCTTGGGCGTCTTGTCAGCTCGGCGCCCGACGGTCTTTCCAGGTAGAATCTGCTCTTCTGGGAAGATGACTGCGCCCTTCGCGTGCTGTTTGGACGTTATATGGGGTTCAGTTCCAACGATCTCGCTAAACACGGAGTTGATACCAAGACCCTTTGGTCATGCCCTCGCCTTGAAATGCGCTGCCGGCAGGGCCCTGGGACGACATGTGTTATGTCATGTGATATGACACCATTAAAGAAAGTCGTTTTGATTTATCTGACTCTAATGTCCTCTCAGAGACACGGCCAAACTTGTTTGTACACCAAGACGCTTAAAGACATGTTAACGCAGCACAGATCGCCTTCAGAGGGAGATCGCACGACCTGTCATTTATTCACGCTCCTCGCTGGAGGGCGGACGCTTGGACTAGTCGTGCGATGCTTCCGCTCCTACCGCGCGCGTCGTGCGACAGCCATTGGGTTCCGGTGGTGTGGCGGCCTACACGAGAACATCTCGAACACGGCCATACGGGCGACACGGATCATCAGGCGTGGTGTCGCGCTCTGTCCGTATAGCTGTGAGTAAATCTGCAATGTGAGCGTCTTCTTCGCGTGAACTGCGCTCGCATTGCGTCGTGACTGGGCAACGAATCTGGTCCCGAGCGAAACGGGTTAGGGTGTTCAGGGACATTAAGTAACGCTAGTTTACACTACGCTGCAAGGGAACAGCTAACTTTGCAAATACCACTCCTCAGGTTTCAACTGTCGTACATGCTCGACCTTGACTCGACCTCGACCACTCGCCACCCGTCGGTGGTGCTACCTTTCCATGTCGACACCCAGTCTCCGGCGGATGCCGTCCTGTTAGAGCGCTGTGGTCGCTGGCGACTTCAACTCCCGGACATGCGGTACCCCGTGGGGTAACGGACCACAGCTCCAGCGAGGCCGCGCGTGCCGTTCGCCGGAGCGGCCACGTTACCGGCGGTGAACACGGTCTTCGGCTGCGGTGGCACGGCCGTGGCCGTCAACGGGTGACCCCCCGCACACCGGCCAACTGCTGGTGTTGAATCTGCGCCCGTCATGTCAGGTCTTCGTCCATTGCCCAGTCCTCCGCCGGTGCCCGGTCCTCTGCCGTCACCCAGTCCTCCGCCGGTGCCCGGTCCTCTGCCAGTCACCCAGTCCTCCGCCGGTGCCCGGTTCTCTGCCGTCACCCAGTCCTCCGCCGGTGCCCGGTCTTCTGCCGTCACCCAGTCCTCCACCGATGATCAGTCCTCAGCAGGCACCCGCTCCCCGTCGGGCGCATCAGCTCCTTAGCTGGCCGGAGCGGGCCCGCCGCCACCGGCCGGCCGCGGCCCCGTTCATTGGTATGCGTGGCTTTGTGGCCGGCGGGGCTGCCAGCCGGCGGACCGCGGCGCCAGGCCGCGTCCGTTAGCGCCAACGGCCGGGTCAAGGATTGAGGAACGAAGGGCACCGTCGGCCGCACCCGGCCGCTGCGCTCGTCACGGCCAACCCCACTCGGGAGGGCCGCCGGGACCGCCGAGACGTCTGCAGTCACGCGGGCAGCCACAGTCGGCTCAGCCTTGAGGCCTGAGCTGTTCTGCCGCCACGCTGGATGTCGGGTGGGTCCCTCAGGGTGTGCGGGTGGTGGTCTGATGGATCTGGAGTGTGCGCGACGTGACTATTGATGAATTCGTATGTCCTTTGAGGTCTGGCGGATCGACGAGTTCCGCCAGATCCGCATCAGTCCGTCGATGCAACGTCGAAGTTTGGTATCGAGCCTTGGTCTACCTCTCTGTGTCAGGGGCAGGCGTTTCCCTCCATCCTTGGCTCATCAATCGCGCCCTATCCGCAGGCAGTACATCGGAGTGGAAAAGTGCACCGTTCTTCGTCCTGCAAATGTTCCAGCCGCTCTCACATATATTTTGCTGAGTGCGCGTACATACCATTGCGCCCAGCACCCCTTCCTTAAGGTCCCCATATTACGCACATTGAGTGCATCGTCACTCAGCCAGTATCTTGCAGAGCCGCCGCACCCTTGCTTCCTCTCTCTCACGCACGATGCGTGCGTTAGTAACTCACTGCTTGTCCCGCGGGCAACGCTATCCCCGGACACTTTGCGTCCATCAGCACCTGGCCCTATCCCTGGAGCCCCCCCCCCCCCCCCCTCCTCTCCCCGGCCTACGCACAGGAGTCCGTGACGTGACAGTGAGGCTGCGTTTGGATCGGGAGATCTGCCCCGGCCTGCGCGAGCCAACCCGGCTCAAATGAGTTAGCCTCCTTGGCGACTACGGGAGCGAGCTCCCGCACTACTCCACGCGCGTCGTTGCTGGGGCGCTGCTGGTCCCTGCTGAGTGTCCCTGCTGGCGGCGGCTGGCGGCGGCTGACTGTCGGCGCGACCGCCCCCGCCGGCCGCCAGCCGTGTCACACCGCTGCTCCGGCTACCGTGCAGCCCGGCCCATTTCACGGGCATAATTCTCACCGGCACAAAGGCCCTGCTCGGGTCAGTGGTGCATCCCATCAGTGCAGCGCGAACAAAAGAACGGCCCGAGCCGTTGCAGAAAAACGGCGTCCGAGGAGAATGGCACGGGCGTGCGGCGCGCATGCGCCGACGCGTCCCCGATACGCCGCCGGTGAGCTCGTGTGAGAACGCCAGTGTTGTGGCCCCGCATTTGACGGAAACCTGCTGGGCTTGACGCAACCAGTTGTGAAATGGCCGGCACTTCAACTCCATTGTCAAATTGGTACGCGAGGTGATTGAGTTTTACGAATCTATAAAGACCACTCTGTCATTAATGGGCGTTTGCCATGGCCCGTCCTGAAATCAGGGGTCCCACGGTCTGCATTTACTGTTTTCGGCACACCTGCTTAATCATTATCGCCAATTACTTTTAAGATTGATGAGTCATATCATGGTTTTGAATTAGAAGTACACAAAGCACAGCGTGACCAACCAATAAAGCGAATAATGCCTGTATAATCAGGCCAGCTTCCTGCCTCGGTAAAACATAATGAATGATCTTAGGAGTGGGTGTGGATCGGCACGTCGTCGAAAAGAGTCAGAGGTGTGGTCATCTCTAACCAATCAATATGTGCCGGCGAGGTCTTGCCGGAAATTGGGACCGGAACCATGTAAAGCTTGGCAGGTGCTCATTCATTGTGACGAAAGAATGTCGACACAAGCAGTCTGTTGGTCGGGAAATACGTTGATTCACTTTATTCCTTTTTCGCAAAACACATGAAAAATTACTTGTTTTACTGGGATATAGGTGTCATATATATATATATATATATATATATATATATATACATATATATATATATATATATATATATATATATATATATATATATATATATGCTTTCACTAGTACCTGACCCTGCATCTATTCAGTTCGCCACAATTATTTGTTGTTAGTGTAAAACCTCTCTCGGCGCTGGTGCTTCGCTCCCCTCAGTGTGATGCCCAGGGTGGGTGCGGTTGTGCGTCGGGAGTGAGTGTGAGCGCTAATTTAGACTTAATTACGACGTGATCATTATGCTTGGCCAAATCTGAAGTGCCGAATAATGTGTCACTCCCCTAAAACAGCAGAGTGGCCGTTCTACATTACTGCCATTGGTGCCAGCGGCCCTCCTTCGACCGCTCTCAAAGATCCCACGTAATCGAACTGAGCAGCTTGCAAAGAGGGTGGGGATTCTTAACGCCCACGTTACAACGTGATGTTGTTTCATTAAGATGCTATCAGACCAAACTTGACGCTTTACGGCCGATACCGTATTCAGCATTAGAGACGTAAGCTTCTCCAGCTGATCCGGACTGTTTATGCCGCTTTAATGTCGGGCAAATGACTCGCGCATGAACGGCATATAAAGCAGGCATCGTGTCACAGTTGCATTTGGTGCCCGAACCGCCTCTAACTCCACCGAACGAGCTGCATTAGATGCATGTCCTTCGCAACGGACGGCGCCATCGCCTGCCAATGTTCGCGCGGCACGCCCAGCTTGAAACGCAGCGCACCGCTATTTGGATGGCCGGTAGCACGAAATCGGCTCCACGTCGACCAATCACACGAGAGTGCCGGCGCCGCTGCCAAAAGGCCTCTCATCGGCCTCTCCACCACCCAGCCCGGCCGACGCCGCGACGTGTGCACGGGCGGCGCGGCGTGCGTGGGGAGGGGGGGGGGGGGGCGTCGCCGCGCCGCCGCCGGTGGCGACGCCGACGGCGACGCCAACCACGTCGCAATGCGGCGCCGTCGCGGCTTGATTAGAGCTGAGCTTTGGTCGTTAGCGCCGCCGGTCGGCGACTGCAGCTTTGTGCGCTGCCGCAGCCGGCCGGCTCCGGCTTTGGCCGCCCGCCGCGCGCGCGTCGCCGCTGACATCGGCAAAATGGCGGCCTGTGGCGCCGATCATAGCTCAATTGAGAAGGTTTTGGGAAAGAGTTATGTCGATACTGTCACTAGTGACGTTTCTGTGAGATGGTTTAATTTATCCGTGGACAGTCTCCTTAATTTCTTTTCAGAAATGCTTTCATGTAGACAGTTTCGTAAAGTCATTTTGTAATTATTGCCAGTTGAATATTTTGTGGCGCTTGATGTCTTCTCGCGATGACACAGTAACCCGAACCCCCGTTTGCCTACCAGGCTGATCATGTTCTGCTGCCTTTTATGTTCTAATTTCCTTGTGCACCTCTTGTACGCGAGCTTATGGTCGCCGTCACGCTGCGCTCCGACACTCAACACCGGGTGCCCGGCGCCGTCTGTGCCGCTGCCGTCTGACCAGTGCGTGCCTCTCTTCGCAGTGCGCGGCTGCCGTCGTCAGTGAGCCTGGCCGGTGCCGGCGATATGCACCACAGCGTGTTCTCCAACCTGCCGCCGTCCGACTCGCAACCGTCTAGCAAGGCGACGGCCGAGGCGCGCCGGAAAAAGTCGCACCGCTGCGACTACGCCGGCTGCGGCAAGGTCTACACCAAGAGCTCCCACCTCAAGGCGCACAAGCGCACGCACACAGGTACGCGCCCCCTCTGGCGGGCGGTGGCGGACGCGGGGAGGGCGTCATGTTTATTGCTGCAATCTGAGAACAGCGCTGGTGATTTCTGACGTGGATGTGTGCAGAGAAAGCAAATGATGATGAAATGATGAAATGAAAAGATGTGTGCAAAAAGGATGGAGCACCGACATGAAGAAACGCCTTGAAAGGGATTGGCATATATTGTAAGAGATGGGCGTGGCCTTATATGATCTCGGGTATGTGGTGCGAGCGATTTTATTGCACGATGGTGGACCGCGTATATTCGATGCTGGGTTCAATATAGAGGCCTGAGTAGCCACGAAGCGTGACTAACAATCCGTTAAGAACGCTCAGTTGACAGCTTTCCCGTGGAACAATACTAATTTGACTGCAATTGGTTTGCAGCACCCTATATGAGGCACTGCTGATTATTGCCTTCATCGCTGTCTTTTTATGCATGAACTCGAAGAGGTCGGTGTGGTTTCAGCACATACGTCAATTTAGCATTAGTGTGGTGGGGATGATGTGGAATGTGTATGCATAAAAGCCCCTGCTGTGATACGTTCTGCGTATGATAATTTGAGGGTTTCAAGAATTTGCGCATGTGATAAGATAAGCCACCTCAGTTTGCACTGTGGTGGGAGTCGAATTCGTCAATGCAGCGCGAGAGCCACATCACTGTCCGGCCCTCAAACAGCCCCATTCATCCTTTGCAGGGGAGAAACCCTACGAATGCACCTGGGACGGCTGCAACTGGAAGTTTGCGCGGTCGGACGAGCTGACGCGGCACTACCGAAAGCACACGGGACAGAAGCCGTTCCGGTGTACCCAGTGTAACCGGTCATTCTCGCGCTCGGACCATTTGTCGCTTCACGCGCGGAGACATGTGTGATGCTAGTGACATCTGTGGACGGACGACCGAACCCCGAGTGCTGCCGACGTGCGTGCGGGCGGCGCCACCGTGTGAGAGGACGCGCAGTGATGGCCGCTCTGCGAGCGCAGAAGAACCGGGCTAGTCGCCGGAGGTTCACGGGAAAACGACGCTTTCCTGCCGCCGCCGCGCTCTTGACGTCATTTGATTTTTCAAGTGGTACAAAGGACCAGCTGTTTGGTGAGACACGGCCCAGTAGTTAACGTGATGTTCCCCTCGAGGCCACGGAGGAACTCGGGGCCTCACTCAACACACAGCCGACGGCGCGCCGCAAACGTTTGTACACGACATGGTAAATATGTACATTACTAATTTATACACGCGCGTCGGTGGGCGCATGTCAGGTGCTTAAAGCATTCTTACAGGGTTGTGAACATGTTGGTCTCAAGATGAATTCCGCGAAAAGTGGGCGCACAGCGGCCGGAGACTCGGGACGTACAGTGCGCTGCCCTTAGGTCGCTTGGCCCCGACACCTCACACCCGAGGCGCCGCTGTCTTTCGAACTGCCGATGGGTGTGGCCGGGGCGACGCCTCGGCCTGGCCCCCGCGGCAGGAACGTGCCTTCACCTCCCGGCCGATTTCGTCCGCGCGCCGCCTGGCCGGCGGAGGAGCCGTAAGCGTGATCTGCACACTCCGCCGCGTCACGCGCACGTCGCCTTAAGTGGTACCTGAAGTGCGTGTATTCCCCTGAACAACTTGAGACCAATCTTGTGCCAAGTCATAATTGTTATATTTTTGTATGCGTAGGTTGAAGAGTGCCTCGTTCATAGGCCAACTTTGTACATTCCATATTGTATAGTGCAAAATATATGATATATATTGTATCAAGGTGCATGACTCTGTCATCAGATAAGAAAAGTTCCCAGCAGAAGATATGTGGTGCTGACAGTAATCTGGGACAGACACATCGTAGATTCACAGCTCGTCAACAGCTTGCTCAGTTCGCGATAATCAGGGGACATATACAGGCAGTATGTCAACTGTCTGTTGTGCAGGCGGGGCAGCCAATTGCAATAATGGGAGAGAGCAAACGTGTTGTTAAGACGCACACACGTTTCTGCTTACAAAGCAGAAGTGTGTGACACACGCCGACGCATGTTCAGAGGCACACACTTTTCTGCGTACAAAGCAGACGTGTAGTACTTTCTCCAGCTTACATAGCAGAAGTTTGTAAGGCTCTGCTTCCGAGGTAAAGCAGACGAATGCGCAGCAGTCGCCCGTCCTCGGTGGCGGAGCAGGCGGCCTTGGCGGAGCCTCAGGCTCCCGAGCTGCAAGCACCCAAACGTCTTTTGCTTGAGGCGTGACCGGATGGCACTTGCTTGAGGCGTGACGGGACGGCTCCTCCTTGAGGCGTGACCGTATGGTGCTTGCTTGAGGCGTGACCGGGCGGCTTTTGCTTGAGGCGTGACCGGATGGTTCTTGCTTGGGGGGCACTTGACTGGACGGCACGATTCGGCGAAAGTTTGTCTTTGTTCCTCTGCTAAAGCCACTGGGCTTAGAAACTGATTATTGGCCAGTAACTACAGGTTTGAAATCACGGATCAGTACCACAGATCACACCACTGATCGCGGATCTACGATCATCATCCGAGATCAACCGTATCCATGCTCACGCCCTCGGACGTGTTCCGTGTCGCGACCGGATGACTCTGACAAACCCCGATGTTGCCTGACGTGATGGCACCGGCTTACGGCCGCAGCTAGGCTGTTGATTCAGCGGAGCAGTGCTCCGGTTGTTCGGCATTCCGAGCTAGTGATGTGTGTGAAGCCAGACGCGTCTTGAGTGATTTCACGAGATTTCACGAGATTTCGCGAGGGTCCACGAGTAATTTAGCGTGGGCGCAATGTCCAGGAAAATACATTACGACCAGTAAGCAATACGAGGATTCATTGGTGTGTAGTTTCCTTTTCACCCGAGGTTGATATTTGCATTTTTGCACTGAGGTTTGCTTATAGCAACCCAGCTTGTACCATACCCATGCAACTGAATGCAACAAAGGAGCGCCAAGAAAGCATGTCATTGCCCAAATGAATGCAAGGTGAAAAACTGCACCCAAAACCCCGGGACACATAAAGTCGCAACCGCACAGACGGCGCACAACACTTTACCTCGTTCGAATGCGTTTGCATGCAGGGTGAACATCCTTGATACAGCGATACAGGCGTTTTGTTCAGGCAAAAGATACTCCTGGACACACCCAGCCCTCTGCATATCGTGCGCGTTTTTTTAGCAGCTCGAAGCACGGCACGCCATTCCAGACCTCACAGATCCGAGCGCGAGGGACACGCCCTGTGTCAATGGACAGAAGTTTACTGGATATGGTTAGCTTCCGTGTGATGTGTCGCTCGGCGAAATGGACACTTCATCGGACACGGCAGCGCGGTAGTAAATATGAGTCGGAACACTGAAGTAACTCTCGAAGTCTCGGAAAGTCGCCCATCGCGAATATTGGCGTTGCTCGATTCCCCTGATTTAGTGTCTTGGAAGAAAATGGGACTACGCAACACGATGTAAAAATACCAGGAGTCTGCAACATTTTCGTAAAGAGAGAAAAGCCATGCCTTTTTAAATGACCCGAACTTGACCCAAAGTTTACTAGAAAACGCATGAGCTGTTTATTAAAAGAGAAACATAACTCATGGAAGTGGAAACTTTCTTTTCAAGGCCATCATGAGTGCCTGGACTTTTTCACGCCATATACACTAACCCAGATCGCATGACACCAGTGCTAGCTCCCGAACATGCGTCTTGGCATCGTTCTAAATATCTTTCCAGTCTCGACCTCCTGAGCATCAATTTAGTCTCTCCTGTTACCTCACTATCTACCCGTGGGATCAGCAGTTAAAAGGGCACCAAGAAGGCTGCTGATCGACCCTTTTCCCCTTAAAAACATCAACTTGACCTATTTTACATGATGAAACGGTTTGCACAAAAATGTCTTAGCTCACTGAATCTGTGATGATTATTTGGGCTTTGGGGTGCACCGACTACGTTGGTCATATGGCGCCCATAATCTGTGCCTGGACTTCTTCCATTGCACCTCTTATAATAATGCTTATACATCCTTCAAACCAGCACCCAACAAAAGATCGTCCACTTCTGCACCGGTAACACACCACGACACTGGCGAGGGCCAAATCAAGGCCAGACCAAGGAAGTTAACGTTCCCTTTTTACTTGGCCGAGTTCCGCCAGCTGTAGGCCAATTCGGTGGATAAAACCAGCTCATTCCAGGAGCGGCGTTATCCGCGCTTGGCTGGGAGTGGCTTCCAAACACTGCCAGTGGCGTTATCCGCGCCTGGCTGGGAGTGGCTTCCAAACACTACCGGACTCGTCAGCAGAATCACGACGAGTAGCTGCTCTCGCTGACGTCACCCTGCTAATCGTCAGCTTTGTCGTGATCAGGGTTGTTGAACTTCCCCGGCCGAGCCTATCTCGGCACGCACGCATGCGGGTCACCAGTTACGGATATGATGTCACGGTAGGGAGAGTGTTGAAGCATGCACAGACAGAGATGAGCCGTCGCCATGAGATCCGGCTTACAGGAGCATCCAGACGGAGCTGACCTCTCCCCGCCGGACTTCGCTTCGGCGTTTGTTTAGAGCCCGGTCTGTACGGGATTCGTTGGGCGCGTGTTGATAGGACCGCGGCCACGTTGTAAGTAGCTCTGCCACGGCTCTGCTACACCACGTCTCTGCTGCACACTCTGCTACACCACGTCTCTGCTGCACGCTCTGCTACACCACGTCTCTGCCGCACACTCTGCTACACCAAACTTCACCACACTGCAGCGGCGGCAGTATAATGTTGTGTATTGGATGGGTAATAGGCTATGGAAAAGGCGAAGAGGCAAACAAAACTAACGTGAGTGACAACAGAAGCGTCGTGTTTCCCTGATTGGGTTTTTAAACACGATTTGATAACTTGCACCCGAAACAAACATTGGCCTCCACCGTAATCCAATGATCGATACGCCCATGTGGATACGTGTACGCAGTGCACATACATTCAGCAGGACACGCGCAAGGGGCGGGGCTAGAGGGACAGCTTTAATCAGAGGGACGGAGGGACAGCTAGAGGGACAGTTTTAATCAGAGGGACAGAGGGACAGCTAGAGGGACAGTTTTAATCAGAGGGACAGAGGGACAGTTTTAATCAGAGGGACAGAGGGACAGCTAGAGGGACAGTTTTAATCAGAGGGACAGAGGGACAGCTAGAGAGACAGTTTTAATCCGTAGTTAGCCTCGGCATTCTAGATACATTATTTTCTGGGATTGCAACCTAATGTTTAATCCATGTTTAAAACAACTTGCAGATATTCCCTGCCGCTTGGGGACGGAGTCGGCATCGTTTACATTATATTGAAGTCAGAAATAATTCTGCGGAAGTAGGGTTCAACACAGCTCCACCGTGTTGCAGATGGGTATAGTACATGACTGTTACCATGATCTATGACTCTCCCGAAATGATATACCTACGCTCTTAGTTGCCCGATAGGTGGCCTTTCAGAAAAGACAGCCCAATGAGTTATGGACGATGCAAGAATACCCGATAAATGCGGGCTGCAGACAGTTCATATATTTGCGAATGATTGCACTAAGTGGCTGGTGATTTAAATGCGCGCCGCGAAAGATAAAAAGCTCTCTTCCAACTCGCAGACTTGTTGGAGCAGCGAGAAAATGTATGGGTGCATGCATGTATAAGTGATGGTACATACTTAGTTCATGCCTGACATACGTTTATTTATATTACATTACCTTACCACACCATAGCATTACTGTAGCTGTGTGCTGCCTAGCGCATTAATAGTTTGCCTGGTGACCTCGATACGCGGCATAAATAACGACTATACTTCCGTTACATTATTCGTTCTCGCTTGTTCTGGAGTCGGTTTCCAACCATCCCGTAAGCCTCTCCAGATCGAACCATGGCTATTTCCCGCTAGCACGTACGTTTTCAAGCTTGTGATTTCTCACCTGCTGGTTCATGCCGCATTCAGGTCTTGTCCCCCTGCCCTACTGACCCGATAAGCCCCGCATTGGTAGCGGTTTGCTCTACACTGGGGATGTTTTACTGTGCATGCACGAGTGATAACACACATATGCAAACCTGGCACGATCAACGCACTGAGACACCCCCAAATGCATGACCACGGGCCCAGAACAGGAAACATTTGGCTGGTATCAGGGCTGGTACCGACTTCCAGTATACTCAGCGTAGGCTGACATTCCCTGGTTCCGTCAAAGCCCTGCGCTGACGCTGAAAGTGCAGGCACCGGTGCAATGCAGCTGAGGCGGATCCAGTGCCGGATGCCAGCACTGCGGTACATGCAATCATATTGCATCTATCCGTGGCATATCCTAACAAGTCTCAGTCAGAGAGCTTCGTCGCCTGCCACGTCAGTTTGTGAAATATCGTTAGGTTAAGTGTTGAGTGAAATGCGAAGCTCAAAGCAAGGATTATTTTTTATGAGATCAGGTTTGATCGCTCTGTTAAGCCGTATACCGCAATGTGCACATACACACCGGTACACCGATGTGAAAACACATCAATGTCATGTACCTACGCAGTGTTCGATGTATATCAGGCACAGTATATTTTCATGACATAAAACAGCGGTAAACCCATAAATAACACGAGCGTCGCACCGGAAATGCACGTTTTACAGTATAATCCCCGTGCAATGCGTGCAGTCTATATCCTATCCTTAAGTGTAGCGTCATACTTTATGACTTCACGCGGTTTGTGTAGAACATTTATCAATCCATTTTCAGCCAGACCCAGTACGGAAAAATATAAAAAAATCAGTCACATGGCAATTTAAGCTACAATATCATATTCATATCTTGCAGAACTTCCCAGCGACAAATACACGGAAAAATTCACACGATTTGACTGCATCAAACACAGAGGACTGCATCGGTCAAAACAGTACATCGGCTTCGTTCAGAGCCATGCTGTCCATTTCACAGACGTAGTGGAGCTGGCGGCGGCAGTCCGTGCCGCTGGCCGAGTCGGTTGGCATGCCGGAGCTGCCCTCTCCCACCTCCAGGGCTGGACAGACTGCGCCCAGCGGGACAGAATCCCCCGCGGCCGGCGTCTCGCCAGGGGACGCCGACTCCACCAATACCACCGACTCTCCTGCATCCTGCGGTGCTGACTCTCTGAAGAACACCGCGGCGGACGCCGACGTCGCCGCGCCATCGTATCTTGCCCATGACTTCGACTCCTCCAAGCTCGAGGAGTCCTCCAGCGGCCTCAGTACGTCGCCGTATGCCAACAACCTCGACTCCTCCAGGCTCGGGGGGTCCCCCAACGACCTCTCCACGCGGCTGGACTTGGCCGATGACACCCGACGCCGCGGTGACCGGCGTGGCGGCAGGACCCAGAGGGCCGGCTCAGGCTGGCGCGCGAGCGGCCGGGTCCGGACCGCCTCACGCCAGAGGGCGCGCAGGAGTCCCGGCGTGGACTCGCCGCCGGCCAGGCGCGCCGCCGGGTGGTGACCAGCGCACAGGTGCTGCGCCTGCGGCCAGGCGGCCGCCGCAGGCGACAGGCGGAAGCAGCGGTCCTTCGCGAGGGTCCAGCCATGCAGACAAGGTCCGCGGCGCAGCTCGGCGAGCTGATCGCTGGTGGGCGCCGCGTGTCGCGAAGACACATACGCCAGCCCAGCGAGCAGCGAGAGGATGAGCAGGCGGCGCGGCGGGGACATGGCGGTGACTGCGCGGACGGGTGGGCGCTGCTGGTGCGCGCCCGGGGAGAGAGCAGGTGAGAGTGGCGAGACCGGTCGACGGCCTTCGCGAAGCGTGGCGACACACGGACGGCTGAACACGCCGGACGAGCGACAGGCTCGGGCAGGGAGAGTGCACGGACGGACCAGGTGCGCCGTGTTTAAATACGGCGCGTGTGGGCGTCCAGCCCGGACCGCCCCAGCGCGGACCAGCTGCTGGGCGTGACCCGGCCGGTGTGAGTGTGCGCAGCTCTGCCCACACCATCAGTCGGACCGGACAGGGATTCAGTCAGCACGGCTACTGGCCCCGCCCGTCCCGCCTGTTGACTCACGCACGTGTGAGGTGCTCATCGCACTATGCTACGACGGGCGCGCGACAGTACATCGAGCCCGGTCTTACAGCGGCGAGTCATGCTCTGTCCGGCGAGCCGATGAAACGTGAGATCCGTCCGGAGTTGCCGACTTACGCTTGGTGAACAGATGGATTATCCGACGGTAATGCAGCTATTTTGCACTGCCCACAGGACAGCATGAGCAGCTGCACAAACCACAGCATCGAATTGTGTAAGCAATATGCGTCTTCACCATCGCGCTATGAGCTCGCTCACCTAGCGTGGTTGGCAGGCATTCTTGCCAAATGAGCTCGTCCTTCGAAAACGGGTGTCGTTGAATGTCTTCATTTGTGAAATAGCATTATCAGGCAATGCCAACATCTTCAAAGCTCATAAGCCTTGCAATACCAGACAAAACACTTGTAACCCAACGCAGCTGAATGTGGTTTTGAGTTACATGCAATATCCCCAGAACGACAGGGAAACCGCGAGCTGTGTTATGTGCTGGCCGGCAATGTCTACTTTGGCGGGCATGGCCTGGCATACTATTGTATAGCACGGAGGTTACCGGAGTCTGCACAACTTTAACATTATCGTGGATGAGTTAAGGTTGTCAATTCTGTCAGGTGCAGCGCTTGGAGGGAGGGGATACTTGGGCAAATATGCCGAAGCGAACAGGCAGTATGATTATCAGGAGGAAGTTAAAATGCAGTAAAAGCGGTTGAAGAAATCAAATCTGTCCAAAAAACATTTTTGAGGAAATGTATCGAATTGTGGTGCGCTCTCCTGACTGAACAGGTACATTTGACAGACTTTCTTTACCCTGTAAATAATACATACTTTTGAAAAGTTTTGGTCCCAACGCGGACATCGTGGGAGAACAACTCATAGTGTGCTTTTATCACGGCGGTGGTTGTGGTTTGTAACATTACGTCGAATCGCTCAAGGAAAATGTGCAAACATTTCAGGCTGTCGGAAATCATCGGGGTTATCTTTAAATCAAAATTTTCCGTTCGCCCCACGAAGAACAGGAAAGTCTTTAAGCTTATTAAATGCACTTTAGGACACAGATGCACGAGTGTGCCGAACAGCAATCAATGTTGCTATATTCTCTGATCTTGATCCATGTAGCAAAACACCACCATTCAACATGAAGCCTCTGCTAGCTCCAACATGAAGCGCGTTAGTCTTCGTCATGGTGGTACTGCTGGTAGAACAAATGTGAAACAGTCGATCTTGTCGCTGGTGCTTTCAACCTTCAGGTCGACGTCAACTTCCGACCGAGCACCGACCACCGAGCACGCTTCTTCGACCCGCGCCGACTGCCCTTCACAGAACAGCCCAGCCGAGGTGTCGGGATTCCCAGCAGCGGGCACGGGTCGGCGTGACGTCACTGCCGTCGTGCTGGGCCGGGGCCGCGCGCCGTGTGACCCGGCACTCCCGGGCGACCTTGACCTGCACGGCGCCGCCCGGCCTCCGCGGCACAGGGGCCGAGGCTGACGCGGCGGCGGCGCACCAACTCCAGGATGCATGACGTGGGCGCGGACACGCGGGATGACGCATGCGCCCTCGGATGGCGGCGCTTCCACGCACCGTCCGTCGTCATCGGTCGTGCGGTGAGTGCGGGGACAATGACCTGCCTCGTGTTAGGCGTGCACATTAACTGAAGATGCAGGCAGTGAACAACGCCTAATTTGCTCACTTGGATCTGGATGGTGAAGCAGGCAAGTCTTCGCGACCAGTCTGATCTCAGCTCGACACAGCGGAATCCTAGGGCAAGAACTGCATCTCATCAGCAATTTAACTGCATGCGTACATATGCTTTTCGTCTTGCCTTTCGACAGTAAGAGCTTAACATCACACCTATTTGAAAAATTGCCAACTTGAAATTTTCAGAGCATGGCTACGAGCCAGTAGAGATCTCAAATCATAGCCAACTGAGGTTCCTTGCAGATTTCATTACGTAACTTTCACCGAACTCGCATCTTTGCTTACCTTACCCAATTCCAGATGATCCACACGCCTCTCGCACCCGTATGATTAATGTGAGAGCAGCCACGTGTATGTGAATGCCGTGTCAAGTGGACACATTACATAAATTAACAAAAATCGAGCTCGCTGGCGTGCTTTTGGAACATTTCCGAGATCACACGTCGCCCGCTTGCGTGATCCGCCGTCCTACGTCAAATGGCAAGTGCTTCATCACGTGATAATGGACCGTACCTCGTCTGATTAGACGAGTATTTTGCTCCTCACAGGCGCCTGGTGCTGCAGTACGGCCGAGGCTTTCTCAGGGCAGCGTGATCGTGGCTGGTAGATCTGCTACCCGTGTAGGCGTGGCACTATATACAAGCATTGCTGTTATCCGCTTTGTAAACCGAGGTAGGAAACACCGCTTCGCACGCGGGCGGCTGGTTTCGGTTCGCTTTGTTGAGGAGGTTGCACTGCATTCACCATTCCGTCACCAATGTACATTTTCCTCTGGTATGCAGGCTCGTATGTGCAGGCCCACGTGATGGGCCATTGTAAGGCGAGCGTTGAATCGTAGTTGGCGAATGTTCACTCGATCACGATTGTCTTGATCGCGAATACTAATCATAAGTGATGATTTCATGAGTTTAGATGCCAGGGCGTCCGAGAAGGCGCTCTAGTTGGGACGGACAAGCTTTAAAAGGTTCGTGCCTTTGATCAATTCATTACATGCCCGATATATCAAATAACACCGGATCACGGTTATTAAAGTATCTTTGAAAAAGCACCACAAAAAGGTTATTTAAATTGCTGAACGATGTCACCTGTCATCTATGCTGCAAAGCATTAACCAACCCGCAATAAAAAAACACTTGTTAAGAGCATAACCCAATGAGTCCATCATCGCTTCACACCTCTAGATCAACGAACTGCCAACCGTTTCGCCAGGACAGCGAGACATTCTTGCCTCGCAGAGGAGCCGCTTATAGCCGCCGCTGACCTCTAACGCAGCCTCTGCCGCACTACTCAGGCGGCAACGTCTGGCCTCGCCGCCTAGCGGTGACCCGCGCCGTCTGACGATGATTCACACCACCTGGCGGTGACCCGCGCAGCCTGGCGCGATTCGCACCACCTGGCAGTGACCCGCACCGCCTGGCACTGACCCGTGCCGCCTGGCGATGACCCGTACCACCTGGCGGTGACCCGCGCTACCTGGCGTCGATTCGCGCCACCTGGCGGTGACCCGCCCTGCCTGACATTGACCCGCACCGCCTGGCGGCGACCCGCGCCCGGAGCGAGGCGCGCTCGCCAGCCCTCCAGCCGGCGCGCGCGGCGTCTGGCGGCCGAGCGTCCCTCTCTGCTGCGCGACACATCCGGTACAACACATCGCCCTCCGAACGCCAGGACTAGGCCACAATGCGCTGAAGCGTGTGTATTTGCGGGTTGACAATTTGACCAGGGTATGTGGACATACGTAGCTCAGAGCTCATGCCACGACGCGATACACTCGAATCACAAGTCTTTGGTCCTTACGTCATGGCGTTCAGCACCACGCACAAACCAAGCTAAGTAGTCAACTTTGTACCAGACAAAACCTCCGCGTGCCCAGGCAAGCATCCACAGTGAAACGAAAACTGAACACAGAGCATAACAGAAGACCAGCAAAAAATGAGCAGCACAAGCTGGCGAGATGAAGGACAGTCGTCTCGCGAGCAGGGGCAATGACGGCGTTCGCGCCATTCACCTGAGCGCGAACAGAACACCAAGAAACAAACCCAACATGGCACCAGCTAAGGCAATGCACCTTGAGGCCTGGACCCGCGGGACGTTGGACTGTGTTCCAGTAGAGACCCTCCCGAGCTCACGGGCGCGACCCGCTCCGCCTGGAAGCCTAGCGCGGCGGCCGCCCACAGAGCGCGCTCGTGGATGGTCGGGCGCCGGCCGAGTCCTGCGTCCTACCGACACTGGTGCCGGGTCTACGCCACGCATTTCGAAAGGCGACGCAACGACTGGAGTCATGTGTGAACCATTCAGGCACCAACAACCAATGGTCTCTGATGCTACATGACGGGTCTTTGAAATACGAATAAATGTGGTCCAGCACAAGAAAGCAGACAATACACCCTTTAACCGCCCGTGACAGCTGTGATGTTACGGCGAATCTTGCGCTGTCTCGAGGGACGACTTAAAAGCACGCCCCTGGGGTTCAAAATCACCGCGGCCCTCAACACGAAATTGCTTGTCTTTCACCTTGAGTACAAGAGGTGCCCCTGAGACGAGACAGGAATGTGGAAAATATTTGTGACGACCAAAAGAAACAATAGCTTAAACAACGGGACGATATGAACGGCCCCAACAGTTGCAACCAAAACTCATTTGCGACAGCGAAAAAGAGAACAGTTCAAACTACGTGCCACCATCGATGGCCTAAAAATTTAAGACTCTATCGCCCCTCACACTTCTTCGCGAGTTTGTAGACAACGCAAAGCGTTGAATGGCAAACTCGAAGTCACTAGGATAATGCAAACAATTGTCTTTTGGCCCCATTGGACCCGCGCATCCAGTGACCGCGACTGAATATTCTTATCACACGCAAAAGATGATCGAAATGAACACTATCTCCGCTCTTAACCAGCCACATGCAAAGGGCCGCGCATGTTCCATACACATCACAAATGTGACACATAGATGAGCCGTGGACTTTGTAGGTTTGTAGCATGTACATGACTACGTCACTGCACGGCAAACACGGATCTTCAAACAAAAGCAGGTTTGTTGCGATGAAAAGGCACGCGCATGCCAAAAGTTTGGGGATTAAACTTATGGATAAGCATTCCTGAAATGCGACAACAGCCTGGCTGGCTGTTGTCAAGGCTTGGCTTGACATGCCTGACAACAAGGCACAAAATAAGGAAAGGTGAATACCTGCCCAGGTCACATTATCATTTTAACTCCTTTCCACACATGGACGATTTATAACTTAAATACAAATACCGAACGTTTCAGCTCCTGGCAACGGCCATTTTGATAAATTGGCCATAACGCAAGACCCAGAACTTGGTAATTTGTATAAACCCTACTGTGCTACAATACTTGGGTTGACTTGTGCTTAGTTACCGCACGAATATCATATCCCGTAAATATAATGGCACCGAACACACCCTCACTTCCTTCTTTTGATACACTTTCAATGATGGAGCCAGCCTCGTACATTCTAGTGTCATTTACCCACAAGCCGGCATTGAAACCCGCCCGCGAACCGAACGCATTTCACGTTCCACCCATCAGGCGTCACTGGCGGCGCTCACTTTTGCAACTTTTCCACGAGCCACTCATCAGTGAGCTCCTCCAGCTCACGGATCTCGTAGACTTTGGTGAGTTCGACCTCCTTGACCAGCGACAGCTTGCTGCCTGCATACATCATCTGCAGCTGTGGCTTGGCGTCTGGGGACAGCAAAGTGCCAGCTGATGCCGCACAGGTTTGGAACTGAACGTCCCAACGCACGTGCAAATACATTAGCGTAACCCCCCCCCCCCCCCCGCCACACACACAGACACAAACACAGACAGCGACATAAGTCTGCAGAGCGGGCGACAGGAGACATTTACATTATGGGAAATTCTTCCACAAAGAATCCCTCCAACAACAGGAACAAGAAGAGGATATTTCCCTCCACTGAATGCCATCTTGCACATCCCTGGCAATGGGTAAATGAACTCTTCGATCATTACATTCATGCCAATACAAAGCTTGCTGTGCCTATGAATTTAACTATATAGCTTATCACAACCAAGCACTTGGTTCCCACACCGAGTGTTCTGTTAATGCTATTAATGACGTGGCTGTCACAGGTGCATAAAGTTAAAAAACAGGACAGTGTAGAGTTGGCCCCCCACCTTGCCCGAAGAAAGCAATTTGCAGGTGAATACAACATTGGTACAAGCTTATTATCATACATCTTGACTTAACAACACTCCAGATAAAATCTTACATTTTGCTTCACCAGGGTGATCTGCTAAAGTAGCAGAAGTCTTGCTGATGGAGTAACCATGCTCACACATTCTCCCATCACATCAAACTGCACACAGAAGGAATGCCCAATGCCCAAGACAGATGACCAAAATCACCACTGTAAGTGAAACCAGGACATCATACCACTGTGCAGGACAATGTAGCACAGATGGGCACAGTCAACAGTCCATATCAGATCCCCAATCACATCAAACTGCACACAGAAGGAATGCCCAATGACCAAGACAGGTGACCAAAATCACCACTGTAAGTGAAACCAGGACATCATACCACTGTGCAGGACAATGTAGCACAGATGGGCACAATTAACAGTCCATATCAGACTGCAGTCCTTTCAGGGGGAACAGAGCATACACATCAATCAAATGTGCTACACATGCAGCTGCAAACAGACCTTTTGGTGTGGAGAAGATGAAGACCATGGGATAGCTGACTCGTCCGTCACTGTGGTCCATGCGGCAGGAGTAGATGATGAAGCGTGGCTGGTGCTCAGGCAGCTCCGCACGCAGCTCGTCCACATCCTGCACGTCATTCAGCTCCTCGTCCACATAGACCATGTGTGACTCAGGATCTACTTTCACTGTGGATGGGCAATATGAAGGACTTAACACCAAGCCTGTATGTCAAACACATCAGGCAGGTATCACAATGAATATGCTGTTTATGCAGACTTGGAGTAAATAAAACATTCATATTTCAATGAGCATGGGTTATATTCACCATGATACACTGTGCAGAGCAATCAGCCCCATGAAATCTGGCAACCATTGAATGTGGTTAATAAACCAGCAGGATACAGTCAATATCTTTAAGATTCCTCCACAAAAAATAACAGCAGAGACTTCAAAAGAAATGGTTGATAAGCATGACATAAATATGTGTCATTGTTAACTTCCATGACAACTTTCCGAGCCATGCTGTCTAGACTAAAAAAGTAGGTGGCCACAAGTTGCGGAAAATCCACACATATTTAGTTTGAAAACTCTACTGCAAGTTCAATGGATGCAATCAACAAGCCTACTGGCAAACATTAACTGAGAAAACAAACCAGTAACAATTTTTATGGCCACCATAAATCAGCATATATCTGATTCTTACATATTAAAGCAGCATTTGTAGTGTCCTTTCTAAAACGGAAGTTCTTGATGCTCTCCTTTGCTTCACTTGAGATCTCACATATCTGCACATTCTGTGCCTGAAAAGGGGTACAGTGAAAGATCAAACATCTCCCTTCCCTTATTTTTTAACCTTGGCAACACAAGTAGGCCTTAAAGACTCCTAGCTCTTTCATACTACACAAGTTAGCACCATGGGGTAAATACATCATAAAACTCTTGTCAAACTGGGACAGAGAGCCAAAACCTGACAATGGTAAATTAAACCATTCACAAATCAAATTAGGTCATAAGAATCAACTTAGTAATTTATAGGCCACTCCCACTATCTAAGAGGTAAAAATGGAATAAACACCTATTGGAAAACTATCAGGCAGGCATTATTGGAAATTGACAGGTGTGAACTATGATATGTTCTGTCAGGTCACAGGAGTGAGGGCTGTTATCACCTTGACCCATATTTGTAGATCAGGAATGCAACAAGCCCTATCAATGGGAGGAAATAGCATTCTGAAGATTTTTTGTACTAAATGAGTATGGCCAGATTGCACCCTTAGCTTGGATGACATACACTAAAAAAACACTACAGTGGCAACCCACTTGAGCCCCAAATACCAAAAATATGTTAACAGAGCTTCTTTGAAATGCCTTTCCTAAGGCAAACATGATCTGTTACTTCTGAGCAAAATATAAGGACATGCCTTTGGGAAAGAGGTCATAGATCATGGACCATCAAGGTCAGGAACATGGTATTTTCACATGTGTAAATAGGATAAAAACTTAACTAGCCAAAATTTGGGCACAATTTTTGGACAAAATTTGGTCAATGAATTCAAACTGGTCAGAATGATTCTGAAACACCTTTGGGGGTCCTGGGTCCCCTGATGGGGACATGGTTATGAACTGCTTGAAAGCAAAGTGTACAGTAACATATTTTAATTGATAACAGGAAACATAGAGTAACATAACATAAATGTAAAACAGCCAGGAATGTGTACACTTTCACGAAATACTGCAATGAATTTCTTCTATTAACCAAAGATGTACAAATGCACCACACACCATCTCTCAGGTAGCTTCCAATTGAATTGATATGCTGTCGCTGTCAGGGTGAGCTAGAGATGCACGTATCTTCTGGTCTCTGACTCCTTTGCTGCCGTACTAACACCACTCAATCCTTTTCGCCAAGCACTGACAACGATGAAACACACTGAATGGGCGTGGCTGGCAGCTGACAATGCTACACACCAACGTCGGACCCAACCAGGTACAGCTTGTGCCCAAGATAAAGATAGACGAAAAACTGGGGAGCTGATGGCCCTATTTCAGATGTGTTTTTAAGCACTGATGCTGGCACGAATAACGCAAGTCGAGAGGACGGACCAGCAATACAGACGCTCCACACCGGAGGGCGGACGCGCGGATGGCAGCGGGAGTCACAGTGAGACGGACAGACACAAGCCGAGAGCAAGGCGTGAACAAAGGCGATGATTCTGGCTCCCGTTTGAAAGCAACTGAAGATGATGACGTCATATAAAAGGAGTATGCATTACACTTTTGACCGTTCATCAAACAAATACAGCAATAATTTTTTATACATTTAGTTTTACTCAAAATAATGTGCGAGTAGCTCAGCTCAAAACTATTATGACTTATACGTTATCTGTAAAAGTCCATAACCTTTGGGCGCTAGAATAATGGTCACTGCTGCGCTAGGTAAGCAGGCATCTGCCAATCAGTAAGCATTAGCGGCATTAGTGAAGCAGTTTCAAGCAGTGAAGAAAGCAAGGCTGTGAGAGGGGCGTGTGGTCAGCTAGGCCTGTGGAGGGGGAAAGGCTGGGGCGGAAACTAACGTCTTGTAACCAGCGCGTCCAGGTACCGTCAGCCGCGTCAGGTTGGTGCCGTAGCTGCGGGGCGAGACGTATAACAGCGCTCGTAGGTAGGTAGGTTACGTCCAGCGGTTTCTTCAAGTACTTCAACTTTTTAGAAGAAAAATCGTCCATTGCGAGCCGTTTTTCCTAAATACGCGATAGTCGGCCGCCCCAACCACTCGCGTTTCAGGTGCCCGAGATTTTTTTGAAATAATAACAATCCAAACGCACAGTAGCACCAAAATAAAGACCGAAGCACTTACCATTTGCCTGTCGTGTGTTCGACCACTGCATACATGTCGCATGATTGCTCTATCAATCTTCAAGATAACCATCTGATGAATATAATTTCCGCACAAACACCTTGTTTTTAAAAATCCGACCCGACTTTTCCCAATGCGGTAGTCAACCAATTACGGTTCCACTTTGAAAACAAACCCCCATGCATGCAATGAGATACTCACCATCGTTTCCACCACTGCTATAAGCATGCTCTGTAAAGTTTGTGTACCTCTTGCATTATTCCAGCTGTCGAGACCTCAAAACGGCTTGCGGCATCCAATAACATTTTCTACCGAGGAAGTACTCTCGTGTATAAGGTACGCTGCACTTATAAATATATATGTACCGTACCGAAAACGTTGGCCTCGCTTTGGTCTTCGGTTTCCGGGGCTTGGTCCGTTCCCTTAGAATTGCTGTTGACACATTATTTCGGTACAGTGTGTCTTTGGATGACAAAGCGGTTTTTAGGTCTCGCCAACTGGAATTATGCAAGAGCCGCACTACTTTAAGAAGGTGCTACTACAGTCTGTCCGCACATGATGGTGACATCCCACGACAGTGCATGAGTCTTATTCATTGAATCAAACCATTGCAGCTCAACCGACATTGTCGGCACAATGTGCTTATTTCTACTTAGTAAGAAGGGCTCTTGTTTCAGGTGCACCGTACGACTAAACGTATATGTACCGTACCTAAACCGTTGCCTTTGTTTCGGTCCTCGGTTCCCGGGGCTTGGCTTTGTTCCTCAGGGTTCGTGTCAGGATGTTATCTCGGCGGGGTGTGTTTTTGCCTTTCAGAGTGGTTTTTAGGATCTCGCCAATCGGAATTATACAAGAGGTGTACTACTTTAAGAGGGTGCTACTACAGCCTGTCCGCACATGATGGCAGCATCTCACGGCAATGCATCAGTCTTATTCATCGGACCGAAGTCTCGCAGTTCCACCGTCATTGTTAGCGCGATGTGTTTAATTTCCATAAGTGTGAATCGCCTGATCCGGACTCGTGCATGAGGTGCACTGCGCTAATAGACGCATATGTGCCGTACCGAAAAAGCTGGCCTAGCTTCAGTCTTCGGTTCCAAGGCTTGGTCCATATAATTAGGATCTTTATTGGCATATTATCTCGGTAGAGTATGTCTTTGTATGTCAGAGCGGTTTTTAGGTCCCGCCAATTGGAATTATACCAGAGGTGTACTACTTGAAGAGGGTGCTACTGCAGTCCGTCCGCCAATGATGGCAACATCTGACGGCAATGCATGAGTCTTATTCATCGGACCGTGGTCTGGCATATCCACCGACATCGTCAGCAAGATGTGTTTGGTCCTAATAAGTGTGAATCGCATGATCCGGACTCGTGTGTAAGGTGCACTACGCTAATAGACGTATATGTACCGTACCGAAAACGCTGGCCTTGCTTCAGTCTTCGTTTCCCGGGGCTTGATCCGTTTCCTTAGGGTGGCTGTTGGCATAATATCTCGGCAGAGTATGTCTCTTGATGTCAGAGCGATTTCAAGCCTTGCTCGTTGGAATTGTACAAGAGGTGCACTACTTTAAGAGGGTGCTACGACAGTCCCTCTGCACGACATGATTGCAGCATCTCACGGCAATGCGTGAGTCTTATTCATCGGACCGAAGTCTTGCAGTTCCATCGACATTGTCAGCACGACGTGTTCAGTTCTAAGGGTGTGAATCGCATAATCCGGACTCGTGTGTGAGGTGCACTACGCTAACAGACGTATATGTACCGTACCGAAAACGCTGGCCTTGCTTCAGTCTTCGTTTCCCGAGGCTTGATCCGTTTCCTTAGGGTGGCTGTTGGCATATTATCTCGGCAGAGTATGTCTCTGGATGTCAGAGCGATTTCAAGCCTTGCTCGTTGGAATTGTACAGGAGGTGCACTACTTTAAGAGGGTACTACGACAGTCCCTCTGCACGACATGATGGCAGCATGTCACGGCAAACGGAGTAGTCATATTAATTGAATCCAAGTGTTGTAGTTTAAGCGACAATGTCGTCACGATGTGTTTGGTCCCTAATAAGTGTGAATCACATTATCCGGACTCGTGTATGAGATGCACTACGCTGATAGACGTCAATGTACCGTACCGAAAACGTTGGCTTGGCTTCGGTGTTTGGTTCCCGTGGCTTGGTCCGTTTTTTAAGACTGCTGGAAATGCTTCAGTTCCGCCGACATTGTTGGGTTTTTCTCTGTGCTGTCTGTTTGGAAACATCAATTCGAGACACGAATGTGAAGAACTGGGATACTTTTCTTAATTGCTCGAATGTACGTAATTTGGTGCTTATGTTGCCCTTTTAGTACATGCTATAAATCGTCGGCTGTCTGCGTGTTAAAAATCATATGACCTGTTTGTTGCCGAAATTATTATATTATCAGATGGTTATTTCTTGAAGATGATAGGCAATCATGCGAGCATTGTGAGTAGCAGTGGTCGAAACGACGTAGTGTATAATGTTAATTGCCTGCTCTCTATTTTTGGTGCTAAAGATGTCGTTTGGATTGTATTATTTCAAAGTCGGGCAATCCTGCTAACGCGAGCTGGTTGAGCCCGTGCCGCATTGCGCGTAAAACGCTCGCGGTGGAGATTTTTCTTCTTCTAAAAAAGGTGAAGTACTTGAAGAATACCCGTACACCTACAGCTAGTAATAGACCCTCTGAACATCTACGGCTCTCGATTCATTCTGTATGGTGTACGTGGTATAATCGTAGATTTGGGCTACCGAAATCCTAGTTCTCCATCAGATCAGCACATAAAAGGTTGATAGTACTCTGTTGCCCTATGACCCCAAACTCTAATATCTGACCTGCCTGGCCGATTTGTCAAGCCTGTGGCTCTGAGATGTTTGGTTGAATGCCACCTGACTGTATGGTGATTTGTAGATTTTGAGCAAGGAAAGGGGCAGCAGGTAGTCAAATCCAACCAAAGGTTTAATAGCTGAACAAATCTGAAGTCACTGCTACCCAAGTTGCCGAGTGTTGTGTTTTTTTAGAAGAAAAATCCCCACCGCGAGCGTTTTACGCGCAGTGCGGCACGGGCTCAACCAGCTCGCGTTAGCAGGATTGCCCGACTTTGAAATCATACAATCCAAACGACGTCTTTAGCACAAGTAATGAGCAGGCAATTAACATTATTCACCACGTCGTTTCCACCACTGCTACTCACAATGCTCGCATGATTGCCTATCATCTTCAAGAAATAACCATCTGATAATATAATAATTTCGGCCACAAACAGGTCATATGATTTTTAACACGCGGACAGCCGACGATTTATAGCATGTACTAAAAGGGCAACATAAGCACCAAATTACGAACATTCGAGCAATCAGAAAAGTATCCCAGTTCTTCACATTCGTGTCTCGAATTGATATTTCCAAGCAGACAGCACAGAGAAAAACCCAACAATGTCGGCGGAACTGAAGCATTTCCAGCAGTCTTAAAAAGCGGACCAAGCCACGGGAACCAAACACCGAAGCCAAGCCAACGTTTTCGGTACGGTACGTTGACGTCTATTAGCGCAGTGCATCTCATACACGGGTCCGGATTATGTGATTCACACTTATTAGGACCAAACACATCGTGACGACATTGTCGCTTAAACTACAACACTTGGGTTCAATTAATATGACTACCCCGTTGCTGTGACATGCTGCCATCATGTCGTGCAGAGGGACTGTCGTAGTACCCTCTTAAAGTAGTGCACCTCTTGTACAATTCCAACGAGCAAGGCTTGAACTCGCTCTGAAATCCAGAGACATACTCTGCCGAGATAATATGCCAACAGCCACCCTAAGGAAACGGATCAAGCCCCGGGAAACGAAGACTGAAGCAAGGCCAGCGTTTTCGGTACGGTACATATACGTCTGTTAGCGTAGTGCACCTCACACACGAGTCCGGATAGTGCGATTCACATCCTTTGTACTGAACACGTCGTGCTGACAATGTTGATGGAACTGCAAGACTTCGGTCCGATAAATAAGACTCATGCATTGCCGTGAGATGCTGCAATCATGTCGTGCACAGGGACTGTCGTAGCACCCTCTTAAAGTAGTGCACCTCTTGTACAATTCCAACGAGCAAGGCTTGAAATCGCTCTGACATCCAGATATATACTCTGCCGAGACATTATGCCAACAGCCACCCTAAGGAAACGGATCAAGCCCCGGGAAACGAAGACTGAAGCAAGGCCAGCGTTTTCGGTACGGTACATATACGTCTATTAACGTAGTGCACCTTACACACGAGTCCGGATCATGCGATTCACACTTATTAGGACCAAACACATCTTG